AAACCTTCCATAAGTATTACCTCTACTGACAAAGCTTCCATGTGATCAGATCCTACACTGTCTGGGAAATCAGTATATTAACTCCACATTGGTCTGGAGTTAATATTCTGTTTTTGGAATATGCCCAGAATAGTCCTAATTCTACATCTTTCTACGTGCTATTTCTTCTTATTGAAAAACTACTCAGAAACTTCTAAATATCACCCTATCAGAGAGATACTCTATGATCATCTGAGGCAAAACAGACCTCACCACCATTCCCCATCGTTTTTCCTGCTTTATTTATGGCTGGAATACTTATGCCCACCTGGTTTATACGTATATGCATAAGTGCATGCGAGTGTGTGTGTGTATGTGTTGGTGTGTGTGGGTTCATATCCATCTGTCCCAAAAATTACTATGTAAGTTTTATAAAATAATTTTTTGACTATTTTGAGCACTGCTTTGATTCTAGTTTGTGGAACAATGCTGGCACATTATAATATCCACAAATATTTCTTGAATAATGCATGAATAAGTGAATTGAATTGAATTATTTGTGTTAAATAGCACAACTTTCCTTAGGAACTATGATTAAAAAGCTAGTATCTATAGCTTGAAATATATTGATCAACATGGGTGTTAAAAGTAAAATAAGTGAAGCTCTAACCCAAATATTGGTACTTTTAAGAAACAAATTGTATATTGTATATATATTGGCATAAAATTATAGAGGATTAATAATCCCAGTCAACAATATGCATATTGAAAATGATAAATAATAACTAAACTTAACCTCATCTCTTATCTCATACTAGCCTATTACTAAGATTTTCAACTTTGTCATGGTAGGCAGCTTATTGATACATAAAGCATTCAGCATTCAATAAAAAAAAGGATGATAAATTTTCTACTGCAGTACACACAGCATCCTCAAAATAGATTTTTCTGATATTTAAAGAGATTTCTGGCAGAAATGCTAGCACTGACATACATAGTATATTATCATTTCAAACTCCACTATGATTTATATTGACTTGAATCCAACCTTATTTTGATCTATGTTTAAAGTGTTAGAAATGAAATTCAATGATTTTCCCAGATATAAGATTTATTAACCACCTTCAAACTCAGGACAAGTTATTTGTTGGACTTAAATGCTGCTAGCCACAGTCGTTTTGAATTGTTATAACATGTGACTAAGAACTACTTCAGGGCATAATGCACCCAAAGAAGTAGAAACTTACAGTGAATTAGAAGTAACAGTAGGAGAAAAAAGCGAAGTTAAGTTTATATATTTACATTTTCTGTTGAATAAGTATCTTTAATACTCTAGCTAAAAGATTCAATTATCATCAATAGTTATACATATGGTTCACTTTATGATGTGACTTAAATCCCACTGGTAGACTGTTGCTAAAATCTAAGTCCTATTCAGGAGATTATTTGTATTGTAAAGACTCTTTAATTTTCTGCATATTACAATGTTTTGGCTTTTAAAAATGGCTTTATGCCTGGGAAAAGATTGCCCTTCCCGGGGCTAGATAATTCTTAAAAGTAGCAAAAGTCTAACTGGTAGTATATCTCTGGTATGCAAACTAAGCAATCTAGAGCTATATGTTTCCTCTCTCTGGAACATATTTATTTGCCTCTATCAACCTCAGTACATTTGTTGCAATTAATAAACATTGACACATCATTATCATCCTAAATCTATAGTTTACCTTAAGGTTCACTCTTGGTGTTGTATATTCAATGGGTTTTGACAAAGACATGGCATATATCCACCATTATAATATAGTACAGAAGAGTTTCGCTACCCTAAATATTCCCTGTGATCCTCCTATTTTCCTCTCCTCCCAACAAACCTTTGACAACCACTGATAATTTTAGTGTCTCCATAATTTTACCCGTTTCAGAATGTCATATAGATGTAATCACACAGTATGTAGCATTCAGATTGGTTTCTCTCATTTAGTATGATGCCTTTAAGGCTCTTCCGTTATCTTTTTATGGCTTACAACATCACTGTAACTAACACTGAATAAATATTTTATTGTATGGATATACCATAGTTTATCCAGTTATCTGTTGAAGGATATCTTGGTGACCTCCAAGTTTTGGCAATTATGGTTAAAGCTGCTGTAAACAGCACATGTAGGTTTTTGTGTGGTCATACATCTTTACCTTATGTAGGTAAATACCAAGGAGTGTGTCTGCTGGATCTTTTGGTAAGCATATGCTTAGTTTTGAAAAAAATTGCCAAATTATATTTTAAAGTGGATATAATCATCAGTAAATGAAAACTATTATTATTCTACATTCTTATAAGCATTTGATGTTCAGTGTTTGGTGTGTAAAGTATCTTGTTTTAATTTGCAATTCCACAATGATGTATTATGTTGAATATTTTGATAAGCTACTTGCCATCTGTATGTCTTAAATTGTAAGGTATTCCAATCCTTGACCATTTTTAAACTTTTAAAAATTAACTTGCCCATAATTTAATTTTATTGTTCAATTTTAATGGCTTTTTGTCTATTTTGAATAACAGTCCTTTTCAGATGCAATTTGGAAATATTTCTTCCAGTTTGTTGCTTGTTTTCTCATTGTCTTAACAATGTATATACAGAGCAAAAGTTTTTAATTTTAGAGTAGTTCATATTATCAATTATTTATTTTATGGTTAATTATTTTAGAATTGTATCAAACCATAGTAATCTACATTTTCTTCTATGTTATCTTCTAGAAGTTTCACAGTTTTGCATATCACATTTAGGTCTATAATCCATTTTAAGGTTTGTTTGGCAAAAGTTATAAGGTCTCTGTCTGGATTCATATTTTTATATTTTCAGTTTTGCTGTTGTTGTTGTTCTGCATTGTAGATATCCAGTTGTTACAGCACCATTTGTGGAAGAGTCTATCCTTTTGGCATTGATTGAATTGCCTTTTCACTGTTGTCAGTGATCAGTTTACCAAATTTATGTGGGCATATTTATGACTGGTTTATTCTAGTCCATTGATTTATTTGCTTATTCATTCACCAATACCTCACTGATTTGATTGCTGTAGCTTTATATTAAATCCTGAAGTTGCATAGTGCCAGTCTTTTGACTTTGGTTTTCTCCTTCAGTATTGCAATATTTACTATTCTTGGTCTTTGGCATCTCCATTATAAACTTTAGTTTGTTGATATCCACAAAATAACTTGCTAGGATTTTTATTGGGATTGCATTGAATCTATGCATCATGTTTAACAAACTGACATCTTGACAATAAGATTAGTCTTCCTATTTATAAGCATGGAAATCAATTTATTTTATTCTTTGTTAATTTCCATTGTATAAGACAGGAATTGACTTTTTCATCTTAACTTTGTATCTTGTAACCTTGCTATCATCACTTATTAGTTCAAGTTCTATTGTAGATTACGTTTTATACATAAATAATCCTATAATTTGTGAACAAAGAGAGTTTTATTTTTTCCTTCCGAGTCCGTATATCTTATATTTCTTTCTCTTGTCTTATCACATTAGCTAAGACTTGCAGTATAATATCAAAAAGGAATGGGTGAGTGGTGACATTCTTGCCTTGTTCCTGATCTTAGTAGAAAAATTTCTAGCTTCTCATTACCAAGTATGCTGTTACCTGTAAGGTATCTGTATAGGTTCTTCAATTGGATGAAATTTCCCTTTATTCCTAGTTTGCTGATAGTTTTTTATCATGATTGAGTGTTGAACATTGTCAAAGGTGTTTTTATGTATTTATTATGTATTTTTTCTTCTTTAGTCTATTGATGTGATGAATTACATTAATTGATTTTTGACTGTTTTCTTAACTTGCATACCTAGAGAATCCTACTTGGTCATGATGTATAATTGTTTTTATAAGGTTTTGAACTTGACTTGCTAATATTATATTGAGGATTGATACATCAATATTGATGAGGGATTGTAGTCTCTAGCAGATTCTGTTTTGAAGCAACAATATGACGAGTTTTACGCAATGGTACATATTTGGTCTAAATTTACAGTAACTAACATATGCCTTATTTTACTGTCTTCTTTTGTGAATAGACATTATCAAGTTATTTATTACTGGTTATTAAAACAAAAAAATACTGAGGAAGTTTATTTTAGAGATTTTCTTTTAGTTATCAATAGAAAATAATTGATCCCCTCAGACCTTGGTCCTGCCTGCTCCTACATTCTTCCTCATTGAATGCAGGTATTAAAGTAAGGTAGCTATTTGGGGTCATGAGGAGAAGGCCTAGCTAACAACAGGTATTAGCTCTGTCATTTTTAATACACTGATAAAATGTAAAAATTTGATCAACTCCAGATTTCATATACCAACAAAATAAAAGTGCATTGTTTAAGCTACTGTTAATTTACCTGTTTACTTTCAGATAATGCATTTCTAATGCTTCAGCTTCCTACAAACATCAGTTCCTTTATTTTGAGGGAACTAATGATTTTGAGTTATACCTGAGAGTGTATGTCTGCGTGTTTTATAAAAGAAGACCAGGAAATAACAAATTTCTAGCATGAGTTATTTTAAACAATACTTTATGTTATTCAGCAAGTATTTACTTAGTATTTTTCTCTATACAGCATTAGCATATTGTCTTGGACCTGGAGTGAGAAATCAGATTGTTTTAAGTATTAATATTAATATTTTTAGTATTTTTATAGTGGCACTTTCAGATGTTCTCTTTTTATTTACTAATATTTAAAGCCAATTTACAGTTATGCTTTAAAATCAAAACAATTTCCATTTAAGTAACTAGATTAGGATAAGTCTAGAAGATCCATTAAACCACCAAAGCTATTCATCTATAGAAAAATACACGTTAAATGCCAATTATATTCACTATTTTAAGTTTTGGGTTTACTGCAACAAACAGAGCAGACAAGACACATGCATTTTACAAAATTTACAATATACTAAATGGAAAGAGGCAATAAAAATAAAACAATTGGTAATTTCAAATAACAATGTGTGATCAGAAAAACATTAAGAAAAAGTTTTAAAACTGACAAATTAGAGTTACTTTCGTTAATATAAAGAAATATGAAATTATGTTATAGAAGTAAATTAGAACTGTCTTTGATGTCACAAAAAGGTACTCAAATTTCAAAAAGATGAAGATATTCTCAGCTAGTTTCATCTTAATGAGCCTTGTCAAACTGGTTGCTCACAGATGAAATATCTTGCATTCTTACATTAAATCATCTGGTTTGGAGTGGAAATTTTATGAAATATTTTGGGAAAACTTTTCTAAGTTATAGGATTATTTATTGCTCAGGCTAGGGAACCAGGAGGTATGAGCTCTACTCACAGCCTTGCAATAATGTGGTATCTATCCTTAGGAAATTACTCTGCTCAGTTTTACAAAGTTTCGGAGCTTTATATTGATATCTGCAAAACTGAAGAATTGGGCCAATGATCTTTAATATCCTTTATGTTCACATTTTGAAGCTTCTTTTAGCTCATGATTTGAAAATAAGGATTCCTCTGAGAAATTCAGCATGTGAATAACAAAATGTGCTCTATAAAATTTTTGATATGAGGATTGAATAATTTACCATCTGTAATACTTGAAGGATGTATTTATACCTAATATATATTCAGAAACTGTGTAACATCTCATTTACTTCTTTAAAAATATTTAGACATTTTAATTATCATTTCTTTTTTTTTTTTTTTT